CATTAAAAAATTAAAGGCTTAATAATATTATGAGCTCATGAATGTAAAACTATTTCCCTTTCAGCCCAGTGAAGTTGTTACCGTTGTTGATAGTCTGCTTTTCCTTGTTCCCAAGGGCATCAGGGATGATAGAATTGCACACAAGGCAAGGCGTTCTCAGAAAGAACTCTACCGGCCGGGCACGGTGGCTCACGCCTGTCATCCCAGCACTTTGGGAGGCCGAGGTGGGCGGATCACCTGAGGTTGGGAGTTTGAGACCACCCTGGCCACATAGTGAAACCCCGTCTCTACTAAAATACAAAAAGTAGCCAGGTGTGCTGTTGGGCACCTATAATCACAGCTATTCAGGAGGCTGAGGCTGGAGAATCGCTTGAACCCGGGAGGCGGAGGTTTCCGTGAGCTGAGATCCTGCCCCTGCACTCCAGCCTGGGCGACAGAGTGAGACTCTTATCTTAAAAAAAAAAAAAAAAGGAAAGAACTCTACCACTTCCTATGGCCACTGAATGAACATTGTAACATTGGTTTTTGTTAGTTTTTGAAAGTTGTTACATTTGTTTTTTATAAGTACTCCCAGTTCCTCCCAGTTTCAAGCAGTTACCTTGTGTCTGCATTTAGCACATAGCCTTGCATACTGCTCCTTCATCTCCTCTGTCTCAGTTCCGTCTGGAGATAGGGCGCTCCGCTAGCCGCTAGCTGCTCTTCCTGATGCCTGTCCAGTGGTTTGGTTTTCCGAAGCTTGTTTGTTGCTAGTGCCTTCAGGAGGGGATTTTGGGAATATTGTCCTCTGAGGACTGGATGCTGCCTTTATACTTTTTTTATACTTTAAAGTAATTTTGTCTGGATATAAAATTTTTGGCTCACATTTCTTTCCTTGTGTGTCTTAAATATGCTAATCCTTTTTTCTGTTGGAGTTTGATAATCTAATTTTCTTTCCATTATAAGTCACCTAATCTTTTGCTTGGATGGCTAAAGGAATTTTTCTTTAAATAATGTTTTTGTTGGGCTGGATCTTGGTGTTGGTGGTTCTGTTTTTGTTTTTTTCCCCTAGGTTGTGGTGTATCCTTTTTTTTTTTTTTTGAGATGGAGTCTCGCTCTGTCACCCAGGCTGGAGTGCAGTGGCGCGATCTCTGCTCACTGCACGCTCTGCCTCCCGGGTTTACGCCATTCTTCTGGCTCAGCCTCCCGAGTAGCTGGGACTACAGGTGCCCGCCACCTTGCCCGGCTAGTTTTTCGTATTTTTTAGTAGAGACGGGGGTTTCACCGTGTTAGCCAGGATGGTCTTGATCTCCTGACCTCGTGATCCGCCCGTCTCGGCCTCCCAAAGTGCTGGGATTACAGGCGTGAGCCACCGCGCCCGGCCAGTGTATCCTTTTAATGCGTAGTTTCAAGTGCCCCCTCCTGTTTTCTGGAGAGTTTTCTTGAATTACAGTTTCTAGTATTCCATTTCACTGCTTTCGTTTTCACCTGTTTTCAAGACAGGGTCTCGGTCTGTTGTCCAGGGTGGAGTCAGCCTTGCCCTCCCAGACTCAAGTGACTTTCCCGCCTCAGCCTCCTGAGTAGCTGGGACCACAGGCACGTGCCACTGTACCTAGTTAATTTTAAAAATACGTTGTAGAGGCGGGGCCTCAATACATGTCCAGGCTGATCTTGAATTACTGACCTCAAATAATCCTCCTGCCTCAGCCTCCCAAAGCATTGGGATTACAGGCGTGAGCCACTGTGCCTGGCCAGTTTTCATCTTTCGCATCTCCTGTTATACATATGTTGGGTCTTCTTTTCCTGTCTTATGTGCTGCTTTTTCTTGAGCTTTTTTCATCTCTTTCATTTCTTTTTTATTCTTGAAAATTTTGTCATTTTGTTTTTCTTAAGGCACCATTGTGTTTATTTGTTCTAAGGTTCTTGTAGTTTAGGCTTCATTTTTGAAGTTATTTTTTCTTTTGTTTCTAATATATTCTGAGTTCTAGTACCTTGTTTCTGAGTTTTTCTAATGCTGGTTTCTGGTTAATGGTATGTTATGTGTTTAATGTATTTCAATTTGTTTTGAATTATCAGGATTTTTTTTTTTTTTTTTTTTTTAGTTTTCATCTTTTTGGGGGACATATGTTTCTAGAATGTTTTCATTGTCTGCAGTGATGTTATTTTGCTTCTTATTCTTTTAAGAAATATGTTATTTTTGCATGATATTTGGCCTCAGTACTTTCTGTTGCTCATTTTTATATGACTTTTTCTTTTCTGAATGCTCAGAAGGGAGGCTTGGTTTAGAATCGTTTCTCTAATTTCAGTGTTTTGGGGTTCTTTCCTGTGTTGTTTTTTGAAAGTTTTAAAAATGCAGCAACTTATTTTCTCAGCTCTCTAGGCTCCATTCTCCCCTCCCACCTTTCATTAGCTTTCATGTTCCTTGGTCTCTAGTTTCCATGCCCTGCACATTTTGTGTTCAATTCCAGGCTGTTTCTTTTCAATGTGTTTGGCTTAAAAGGGAGCTTTGGATAATGAGTTTTGAGAGGGCTTGGGGTCCAGAACACTTGGGCCTCTGGGTCAGCTGTGCAGGCCTCTGTGTGGGTCTCCTGGTGGATCCGGCAGCTGCTGCTCTCAGCCCGGCTCCTGCTTCCCTCTGCTTGCTCCGTCCTTCGCCCGTGTGCCATGCTGACCTTGTGGCTTCCAATGTCCCCATCTGCTTGTGTTTGGGGTTCTTGAGGAATATCCTGTAACCTCGTTCTGTTGGCGGTGTTGACCTGGATTTTGGTTTTGCTATCCTTGGAGCTGTGTGTGTCTGTATGGGAGGATTTAGGGAGATTAAACATCTGTCTCATTCCGTCTTTCTCGGCTGGACTTTTTAGAGGTTAGCGCTGGTCCCTCTGAGGCTTTGTGTCTCCCCCTCCAGTTATTTGTCATCAGCTCTTTTGTTTGTTAAGGACAATTAATTTATGTTTCCTCAGTTCATCTAATCTTGTGTAAAGTTATAAGGTGGGAATAAAAATACCTTTGTTATTTTATAGATCTTGTATTTGATCACACATTTATGAAAAATATTGCCTTTACTAATAAAGGAAGATTTAAGACAGCACTTGGCTCCTTCTTCCACGAATTGTTATCCCCAAGAAATTCTAGAGCTGAGGCGAGGTGCAGTGACTCACACCTGTAATCCCAACACCTTGGGAGGCCGAGGCAGGCGGATCACCTGAGCTCGGGAGTTCAAGACTAGCCTGACCAACATGGAGAACCCCCGTCTCTACTAAAAATACAAAGCTGGGTGTGGTGGTGCATGCCTGTAATCACAGCTACTCAGGAAGCTGAGGCAGGCAAATCACTTGAACCCAGGAGGTGGAGGTTGCGGTAAGCCGAGATCGTGCCATTGCACTCCAGCCTGGGCAACAAGAGCAAAACTCCATCTCAAAAAAAAAAAAAAAAAAAGAAAAGAAAAAAGAAATTCTAGAGCTGTTGCCATTTAAGCTGTAAAATTTAAACCTAGACAAAGGAGAGGAGGAACTGCATTTTTCATTGGATTTAAGAACACGTGTGAGGCCTGCTTTTGTAATTTCATTCCTGTTGGGACTCATCCATTAACAGAAGTTGTGGCCAGGCGCGGTGGCTCACGCCTGTAATCCCAGCACTTTGGGAGGCCGAGATGGGCGGATCACGAGTTCGGGAGATCGAGACCATCCTGGCTAACATGGTGAAACCCCGCTCTACTGAAAATACAAAACTTAGCCGGGCGCGGTGGCGGGTGCCTGTAGTCCCGGCTACTCGGGAGGCTGAGGCAGGAGAATGGCGTGAACCCGGGAGGCGGAGCTTGCAGTGAGCAGAGATCGCGCCACTGCACTCCAGCCTGGGTGACAGAGCGAGACTCCGTCTCAAAAAAAAAAAAAACCCAGAAGTTGTGAATAGACTCAAGAGTTGAAACCATGTGACCTGAAAACCCCACTTTTTCTTCTGCGATGGGGGTTGTGGTTAGGGACAGTGAACGGACTCTTCCTGATGAAAGGAGCTGTGCTGTACAGAGCTGGGCACAGGGTTTCTGCCCTTAAGAAGTGTATAGTGTAGTTCAGGGAAAACAGTTTACTTTATACCATTTATGTGTCAATAATTAAAATATAAAGCATAATCTGATAAAAAAATATTATGGTCACATTCATTCCTCATTTCAGTGACATCCTATTTTGCACTCCGATATTTGGATCTGTGTGTCCATAGACCGTAGTTTGAATGATGCAGCCTCATTTTTACTTTAGAAAATAAGTTCTCTTGAGGCCTAATCAGAGCGTCACAGGAGCTGGAGGAAAGCCCCTGACTGTTTCAGACACTGTGCCAGGCTCGGGGATAGCCCCACCCTGGACAGCACAGTTGTGGACAGGACAGATGGTTCCCCCTTGGTCATGGTGGCACGATGCTGCTCGGGTTCAGGACAGAACCTGAGAGCAGAAAGAAAGCAGAGCAGAGGTGCTGCCACTCCGCCGGGCCTGTGGGGCAGCAGAAACGGAGTATGGGTTCTAGTCTAGATGGAAGCGTGCAGTTGGGAGAGATTTGGGAGGAGAGATGACGTATCACCATGGAGACCAGTGGTGTGGTGTGGGGTGGGTGGGATGCTGCTTTCTGGGGTGTGGTGAGTGTAGCAGGGCTGAGGCCCCACGGGAGCAGGAAGTGACAGGACGTTTGCTGTAGGCAGTCAGGCCCCACTGGAGACTTGAGCTGAGGGAGAGGATGTTTCCAAGCCAGTGTTGGGAAGGTGGCTTTGGAAGGGCATGAGGAATGCGGTGGAAATGGAGACGCCCTGGGTGACTTGTCCAGTGGTTAAGGAATGAGGCAGTGGGTGGCGTTTTCAACGATTTGTTAATTTTCAAAGAAACTTACCTTTTGGTGGTTTGAGGCAAGAAGAACCCTGCATGTAAAAATCCACAGACATTCTCGGCCTCTTGCATATATGTGCACAGCTCGTGGTTTTCATCATTTCACATGTGGCGATGGTTAATGTCCTCTCCTCCTCCTTTGCTTCTGTTTGGTAGGTGACCAAAAGCCAGCCCCTCTTCGAGTGGAACTCTTGCGTGTTGACCGGCCACTCTCCTGTGCTCTGGATGATGTCTGAACACGACCTGGCGGATGTGGTTCAGATTGCAGTGGAAGACCTGAGCCCTGACCACCCAGGTACAGAGCTGTGGGACAGTAGGTGAAATATTATTCTCACTATTCTTGAAAAACCAAAAGCTGCTGCAGTTATTTTCTTTAAGCAGAAGTCAAAGTAATGCATGCTGTATATGAAAAAGTTTGAATCCTAGAGATGTGAACACTGTCGGCCCCTCCCTTCCCTCGCCCCTGCAGCCTCAGCCCCATGTTCCTTCTGGAGGGGGCCCCTGTGACACTTTGTCTCGAGGGCTGTCTCTGCTCCTGCTGCTCGGGTGTGTGTGTGTGTGTTCTACACCCTCTCCCCTGCCCCATCCCTGTGTGCGTCGTCGTGGATCCTTACCGTGATGTGTGTGTAATCCCCTGTGTGCGGCGTCGTGGATCCTTACCATGATGTGTGTGTAATCCCCTGTGTGCGGCGTCGTGGATCCTTACCATGATGTGTGTGTAATCCCCTGTGTGCGGCGTCATGGATCCTTACCATGATGTGTGTGTAATCCCCTGTGTGCGGCGTCGTGGATCCTTACCATGATGTGTGTGTAATCCCCTGTGTGCGGCATTGTAGATCCTTACCATGTTGTGTGTGTAATCCCCTGTGTGCGGCGTCGTGGATCCTTACCATGTTGTGTGTGTAATCCCCTGTGTGCGGCGTCGTGGATCCTTACCATGATGTGTGTGTAATCCCCTGTGTGCGGCATTGTAGATCCTTACCATGTTGTGTGTGTAATCCCCTGTGTGCGGCGTCGTGGATCCTTACCATGTTGTGTGTGTAATCCCCTGTGTGCGGCGTCGTGGATCCTTACCATGTTGTGTGTGTAATCCCCTGTGTGCAGCATCATGGAACCTTACCATGTTGTGTGTGAAAGTCTGCTCTGTTAGCAACTCCGCAGAATTCATTCACAGGTGCCCCCTCCACAGTTGACTTTTCCCTTCGGGGGCTCCTGGCATAGTCTGTCTGATTTTTCCTTTATACACAACCCTATAGGGAAGATCCTTGCATATGTATCTTGGCAAATAGAGAAGTTCCCAGAAGGAAAATTGCTACGTGTGTTTAAAATTTTGTTAAGACACTGAGAGGTTCTCTAGAAATGTTTTACTAATTCTTCCACTGACAGTGCTTGAGAACACGTTTTTTTCTACACCTTTGCTAAGGCTGGTAATTTTTAAAAATGATGTTAAAGGCACATGTCTACTTTGAAATAATAAACTTGTTTAAAGGAGAGCCTTGAGAAATGAAACCTTAAATTTCAGGAACTTCATCTCTTCATCTGTGAAAACACTTTGTCCACACTTACTGTTTTAAAGAGATTTCTTCTTCTTCTTCTTTTTTTTTTCTGTAAAGTGGTATGTGTTTTATTGTTCTGTTAAGTTTGAAGTGACAAGCCGAGCACAGCTAAGTCACTGAGTGTTTCGGTTGCCTGGTTATTCTTTCAGGAATGTTCGAATCGAAGGGCTGACAATTTATTCCTCCAGAAGAGAGAATTTTCAGAACTCTCATAAGGAAGTCTGATGTCCATTCCTATGATCTGTTTGCTCTGTTAGTCGAGAAAACTACATGTGGAGACTAGTTGTAGTCTGGAAGGGGAGGGCAATAGAAATAGTTTTGGGGTGAGGTGAGCAGTCCCAGGGGAACATGAAGGCAGCATTTCAGGAGTGCTGTTGGTTAGTTTTCCACACGATCACTGCACATTATTTTACAAATCCCTGTTTCTAGTTTAGAAGGCAAATGACAGTTTCTTTAGAAAACATACACTGTAATCTTGTAAAAGAAAACTGTTCCAGTTACATCATTTCCAGTGATTTCAGAACCATTAAAGTTCTGACAGCCTACTTCCCCAATAAATCTCTCTTTGTAGACTGTGGCCCAAAAAAAGCTTAGAGAAATAATTTCGAATCTTGATTTTGTTCCATCTCTGTTCCTTAAATGCCTGAGAACTATGGTTTCTTGAGTATTTGTTAAAAGCCTACTGTGCGCAGAGCTCGTTGGCCTGCCCAGTACAAAGCCTGCAGTCTGGACCCAGGAGAAGGTGTGCACAGCTGCAGGTACCTTGGTGTGTCACGCATGTTTGCATTCATTGTGGGTTTAAAGTACTTTCCTCATCTCAAAAGTATACATCTAACAAAGTTTAACAGGATAGTCAAGAAAGTAGAAGAAATAAAAATTTTCCATAATCCTACTGGTTGTAGCAGCTTTTAAATTGTTGATGTGTATGTCTTTCCAATTTCTTCTTATTTTTATTTAAAAGAAAGACTTCTAGGATCATCTGACTTGATGTGTACCGACCATGGCTTGTGCTAACTCTACCTGTCTGAATGCAAAAATTGTGACTTGCATAAGGCCTGTCATTGCAGTTGATTGATTGTGATGTCTTTATTTATTTATTTGTTTATTTAAGACAGAGTTTTGCTCTGTCGCCAGGCTGGAGTACAGTGGCATGATCTTGGCTCACTGCAACCTCTGTCTCCTGGATTCAAGCGATTCTCCTGCCTCAGCCTCCCGAGTAGCTGGGATTACAGGCGCCTACCACCATGACCGGCTAATTTTTCTATTTTTAGTAGAGACAGGGGTTTCACCATGTTGGCCAGGCTGGTCTCGAACTCCTGACCTCAGGTGATCCACCCACCTCGGCCTCCCAAAGTGCTGGGATTATAGGCGTGAGCCACTGCACCCAGCCTGATGTTGATATTTTAAAAATGAACAAGGAGTTATTTTAATTCTAAAAGTAATGCATACAAAATTATAAAAAGCAACACATACAAAAAGCAGCAAAGTACAAAGAAGAAGATAAGTGCCACTTGCTGTCCCATTATCTGTGGAGTCATTACTGGAGTTACTGCGTGCCTGTCTGCTGCCCTTCTGACGAAACTAGCTCTGTGACCCCAGAGAAGCCCCGTAGCCTTTCTGGACTTGTTTTCTTCCCGACAAACTAAACAGTTAGAGGAATGAGTGCGAGGGTCTCTCTCTGCTCTTCCAGGCCTGCTGTGATGACCAGTTTCCAGTGAGAGTAAAGAGCCTTTGACTGAGGTCCTGGGAACGTTTGACTAACCACAGGCACTTGCGGGCATGGAGTTTGAAAAGTTGCGTTACATGAGAATTCATCTGCAAAGGCTTAGGTGGTGATGATTGACGCGCTCCCTGCCTCTGAGGAGTCAGGAGGCCGAAGGCAGGGCCATGTGCTGCTTGTGAGCCGACAGTAGTCCTTGGCTTTGGATAATTTCCCACTGGGTAGATCAGATTTGACTGCTTTTGCCTAGGACCTGTGAGAGGTTCCTATTAGAACTGTGGGACAATTCTGCATCTTTAAGTTTCAGAGTTTTGAGCGGAATCATCCAGTGTGTACAGGCTTAAAGGCATGGACCTTCTTTTTTGTTTTCCTGTTAAGATCTTCTTCGGAATGTCAATCTATATAATTCCGCGGGGAGTTGCTTTGGTGGAGGTGGAGGCAGGGACCAGAGAGGCCTGTGCACTTGGCTTTCCTCTAGCACCTGGAGAATCTGAATGCCAGCCAGGAGTGCTTCACCCACATCTGTGGGCAGCCTTGCGTGTAAGGTGCTGGGAGGGTGGTCTGCTCTGGGGTGGGTGCTGTCACCTCATTGGTGTCACAGTATAAAAGTATAAACAGGTGTGAGCTGAGGCTCTTCCAGGAATGGCTTCCCGAACAAGGTGGCATTTGAGTGGGGCTGGACAGAAGGTGGTTAGATTTCCCTGGTGGAGACGGCTGGAGGGTTGGTAGTATGGGAAGGGCTGGGGCACAGTCCACACCAGCAGAGTGGGGCGGGTGTCATCTGGCCACAGTGAGGTCATCCTGCTTGGCTGTGACGTGGGCGCCTTGAAAGCAGATGGTGTGCCAAAGGTGTGCATGTGCTCAAGGGTATTCCCAGTGGCCTCATTCAGATTTCTGATTTTTTTCTACCAGGAGCGTTACAGTAAGCATGCTCATATGTATGCATGTATATAGCATCTATTCGTGTATACTGGCATTCATTTTTGTAAATAGTCACACACTGGTATTACTGTTAAAAACTTAAAGCTATTAATATTATAACCTGGGTAGTTCCAGCTACTCAGGGGCTGAGGTGGAGGGTCCCTTGAGTACAGGAGTTTGAGTCCAGCCTGGGTGACATAGCAAGACCTCATCTCTAAAAAACGAAAACAAACAAAACAAACAAACAAACAAGAAAGATTAATACGAACGCAGAGTCCATGTTTGTTGCTCAGTGAAGAGGAAGGCTGCAGACAAACCTGTTGACGCGGTAGATGGTCTCGCACCTCCCACATGTGTACCGTTTGTTTCTCTTGATGTGTGAGCGTGTAGAATAGAGCACGGTAGGAATGCACTGGACAGTTCACACTGTCATTTCAGGCAAGGAAATGAGAAGAAAAAAACACTCGTGGCACAATCTACAATCTTTAGCAAGAACTGTTGACCTTTTAAACTTCTGTCTATAACTGCAAATATGTAAATTTTAAAAAATTGACTAGGTCAAAGGAAAAGAGAGGACTAGAAGGGTGACAGACAGATAGACATGTGGTTTGCAGAGATGAGGCAGTTGTGGCCGATTTTGGTCTTTGATTTTGAGGTTATCTTTGACTTTGTTTTTGTAGTCAATTTTAGACAAAAGGAAGGAGGTTGGGACTGGACTGTGGCCGCCCTGAGCTGGGGCCGAGTTGCTTATCCTGTAGGAAGCCGTGGCGATCAGCTGAGGCTGGCTGTGTGATGGGGGCAGCTGGTCTCAGCTGTGCTGGGAGGGTTGGGGTTCTGTCACTTAGTGTGTTCAGGTTGAGACTGTTTTGATTATTAGCACCTATGACGATGTGATATTCAGTGTTGTTTTTCCCCTTTCAGTTCTGGACCTGCAGTTAGAGTGGCTTTGAGTTTGGAATGAGGTGACCAACAGATACAACTTTATTTTAAAGTGGGGAAGAAATCATTATTATCGATTGGGTTTTATCAAACCAAACAGGGCAGCCCCATAGAGCATTGAGTCAGAAGCTTGCAGATTTGGAGTTAGGACTGACTCAGTGGCACATTAATTGCCCAGTGTCTGGGCTTTTCTTGGGATTAAGGAGTTATCCTATTTTCTGCCTGACTGAGAATAAGTTTAAAAAGGCAAAATATGACATAGGTTCTGCTATTTCTCATTCAACCTTAAGGTGTCAGCGCTGTTTACTGTCTTAATGTTAAAATAATTCTGTAAAACTTTTCATGTTAAACATTTTTTTCTCTGTCACCGATTTCAGTTGTTTTGGAGAATCATGTAGTGACAGATGAAGACGAACCTGCTTTGAAACGCCAGCGACTAGAAATCAATTGCCAGGATCCGTCTATAAAGGTAAAAATCTGACTCTGTTCCGTAATGTGTAGTGCACTGCAGATTTCAAGGGCTGCTGTAACAAATCACCATCAACGAGATGGCCTAAAAATGTAGCCTGTCAGCGGTGGAGGCCAGAGATCAAAACCAAGATGCGGGCAGGGTCTGGCTCCCTCCAAAGGTTCTAGAAGGTGGATCCTTCCTGCCTCTTCCAGCTTCTAGTGGCTCCGGGCCTCCCTTACCTTGTGGGGCTCCTTCCAGCCTCTACCTTCCGCTTCATGTTTGAAGCCTTTGTGTGTCTGTGACTGTTTCCCCTTCTTCCTCTAGTAAGGACTTGCCATTGAATTTAAGGCCCACCCTAATCCAGGTTGATCTCATTGACTAAATTACATCTGCACAGACCCAAAGAGTTTCTAAATTACATCTAAATTACATCTGCACAGTTTCCAAAGAGACCACATGGGTAGATTCTAGCGGTTAGGATGTGGATATACATTTTAGGATGTGGCTGTATCACCAGGCAGCCCACTACAGAAGAGTGTGAGCCATTTTTTTCTCTTGAAGAGCACAAAGAGTAAGAATTGTTTACCTTGAGATGCTGCTGAAGGAGGCATCTTCCCACACACCTGCAGGCCCATTTTGGGTGGAAGGAAAGTGAACTTTCTACCAGTGATGAATGACTTCTGTGTCTGCCATTTAAGTCACTTAGATTCTAAAGTTTACTGGATGGGGTTCTTCAGAACCGCTCGTTCCGTTAATTATTTTTGGATCTTTGAATTTGCTTGATTGGTTCCAGTGTTTGCAGAGTCACAGAGGTAAATACCAGCACGTGTGAGAAGTTTATGAGAGCAACACAAAACCAAAGTCACTTTTCATGTAATTCCTCTGCCTACACAGGGTTTCTACTTGGTCATATTTAATTTGTTTTGTTAACAAGGAGAAGCAGTGTAAATGTGTATGAAAAACTTAAAAATAAGTTCACAGTAAAATGCCCGTTTCCAACCAGTCGATAGGATGTGGCTCTGTTAGTAAACACTGCGTTTTCATCCCCTAAATAAATACAGTTGTAATTTTATCGCAGAAGACACACCTGTTACGCCCAGCACAGAAATATATAAAGTGAGCATGGAAGCGGCCCTGCCTTTGTCCTTGTTCTACTGTTGAGAAGAGGTTGGGCCCCCAGTTGAATGCGACCTGCGTAGAGTCATGTGTGGCTCTAGGTTGTTTTATTAGCATATAAGAGTGATTTTCCCCCAAACCCCAGGCAGAATCATTTGTAGTTCAGAATTAAAATAACGTGGGCGCACTGTTCAAAGAATTTGAGAGCCGAACATTTGATGTTCTCCAGTTGGTGAAAATAGTGGGGTTGTCAGTGGCCATTCAGGGATTCAGCCACCCATTGTTGCTTTTCAAGACGACGCATGTTTGTCATGCCATGGACCGTGCTCATTTGTAGGTAAGCTACTGAGTGTCATCCATGGGCTTGGGTCCACCTGACACCGAGGCTCCTTCCCTCTGTCACACGGGCCTTCAGCGTCATTCTAACAGAGAGTAGTCAGTCAGGGAGGGTGAATTTCACTTGGTTTCTTTAGCTCCTGTCTATATCAGCGCCTAGTGGTGAATGTTGTCAGGAGAGGTGGTGACCTGGGAAAAGGTGAGTTGTTGGGCAATATGTGGATTTTCCCTCCTGCAGTGCTGTCCCTGCCACTATGTACACCAGGTTTCCATGCCAGCTTACATGATGTTTGATATCACTGTAATTTTGATATTCTGCAGATTCCCCTTAGATCAGAAAGGAGAGTGGGCTGTAGGTCAGCCGCAGTTAGTGGGAAAGCCGTTCCAGCTCCAGTGTGGGCCGGCCTCCTGCTCCGCTGTGAATGTGGGCCGGCCTCCCGCTCCCCTGCGAGTGTGGGCCGGCCTCCCGCTCCCCTGTGTGCAAGCTCCACAGCCAGCTCTCAGTGGCTTCCGCAGTGCCGCCCCTGCTCTCCCGCACCTACCTCCCTCTTCCTTCTGATGTGTGCACTTTGGGCCTCACACTCTTTAGGCCATGGGCAGAAAAAGAGAGAGAAAAGACGAAACACAAATTCTGTGGTATTTTCAGCTATTGATTCTTAAGGCAGGTGCCAGCCTTCCTGACTACTAAGCGGGGCTGGTGGGCACTCCCCCAACTTGCCCCTCCCTAGCCCGGAAGGAGTGTCCTTCTGTCTGCTGGTGAGACCTGGTGGAGGGTGTCTCTTTTGCTCAGTGAATTCCTGCGTGATTAACACGTTTCCACATGTGGTCCTGGCGGCTCCTGGCTGGGACGGCAGTTGGGGAAATGAAGTTCTTCCCTTTCTGCTTTGTGTGTTTCTCTGTTTCTTGGGTTTGAGTCCGACACATCACTGCTCACAGTGGTTACTTGGAGTTAGGAATCCGGAGGAGAAAGGTCAGACGTGGAGCCCGGCTTTGCCGGCCACTAGGTGGCGAGCTTGCCGCTCAGGAGCCCCACGGGAGCCTCAGGACCGAATCCGTCAGGGCCACAGAGGATCCAGTCACCGTTTCCAATTAGGCAGCTTCCGATCAGGCAGCGGGGTGTGATGTGAATGTGCATGGCCTGTGGCTTTTACGCTGTTTTGATGTTAGGTGTAATCTGTTTTTATTGTTGAGAAGATTTGACTAGTTTTTGTGTAAATTTACTGATTAATAACATATTAAAGTACATACTTTTTAAAAATTAAGTGGACTTAACTAAGAATTGCAACTGCACATAGACGTGAAACCATGATGAAATCATCACATTTCAAACAGGACGTGTGACTCATGTGTAAAGTGGGAACTCGTTACTCTCAGGCTTCTGGCTCGTAGCTAACGAGCCAGTTCCAGTGTGGAGATTGTCCTGTCCGAATAGATGGAGTTGAGATCAGGAAATAGCTGTTCGGTGTTTCTTGGGGTTGTCTTCTTACAGTTCAGGAGACCCTTCCTAAAGCCGGTCTTTTTTCACTTCCAGTCATTCCTGTATTCCATCAACCAGACAATCTGCTTGCGGCTGGATAGCATTGAAGCCAAGTTGCAGGCCCTGGAGGCCACTTGTAAATCCTTAGAGGAAAAGCTGGATCTGGTCACGAACAAGCAGCACAGCCCCATCCAGGTTCCCATGGTGGCCGGCTCCCCTCTTGGGGCAACCCAGACGTGCAACAAAGTGCGATGGTAAGAACAGACCAGGGTGCCGGGGCCTTCAGGTCACTTGGGGAGAAGCGGGTCACCTCCTCGCCCAGGCCTGCAGCTTAGTAGCTCAGTTTGCTGGAGATGCGCGGTGTCTGCCTTAGCAGTTTCTAACTGAAGCTGAGTTTAGTTAGACCGAAACCGAACATGTGGCTTCCTGCCAGGACGACCTGAAGTCATCCTCACGTGTCCTTTCCACGAAACAGACCCCTGCACCTTTTCTTTGGAACTAACCCCCCAATCTTAGAAGATGTATATGTGCTTCTTTCCTTTTTCCTACTCTACCTGGCTAGTCTTTAGATACGTTTTTCTTCATATGTGGTGTTTATACATTTCACGTGACTATACCAAACTTTCCATTCAAGCCTGCAGTTTTTATTTTGCTTATTTTTAAAAAGTAGAGTCTAATCTTAGAAAGCTGTGTGGTAGTTTGTGAACTGCTTGAGTAGAACCTTTATGATGTCTTAGAAAGTCTCAGAGCTGCTTGGTGTCCACTCATCCAAGGCTTCTTGTCAGATGCTCCAGCTAGCAACTTGTGCTGAAGCTCAGGCTCTGGCGTTGCTAGCCTTCCCCACACCTGGCCAGAAAGAAGTCCTGCTTAAGGCCGCGGACACGGCATGGCTTTGTGCTTGACGAGGGGCCTTTTGACTGAGCGCTGCTCTCTTCAGATTCCGTGGTCTGGCCGCAGCCTTCTGCCCGGTGTGTCTGGGAGGAGAGAGAATGATGGGATGGCAGCGGTGGGGCCGGGGAGGACATGTGAATGCCGAGGAATGGGAGCCGCAGCAAGCCTGGAAGGACTGTTGTGACCTTGCCGCCCATGTGTGCTGGCGGCTGGCGCTGGGTTAGGTGCTTTGTGGACCTTGCCAGGGAGTGTGGGAAGGGAGAGCAGGGGCTCCTTGGCTGGCTGGGCATGGGATGTTCATGAACATACCCTAGTACCGAGGTGGCTGGCTGTCCTGGCTTGTCTGGGGGCAGCTCCAGATGATGGCTGCTGTGCTAGCTGAAGCATTGGTGCCTGTTGGAACTCTCAGGCGTGCCGGGGGTTTTGGAAACGCTACCCCGCCCTCCAAGCTCCGCTGCTGGCGGTGGAATTGGCATTTCAGTTCGCGGGCGGGAGGTGGGGAGCGTTCGTGTGCTCCTCTGAGACGGGGCCTTCACCCTGCACATATGCTGTCACTCGCGTTTCCCCCCAGCAGGAGTTTGTTTTCCGTGTCCTCTGTGCAGGGACGCTGTTGGGCTCTCAGGTCAGCTGTGCAAAGCTGTTGGACCCAATGCCTTTTTTTTAAGGATAGTTTTTTGGGGTAATGTCCTCTTACCCTAAAATGCAGTGTTTAGAAAATATAACTTAGTCTCAAAAAAGAAAAAAGAAAATGTAATTTATAACTTAAAATTAATAGACTGCCCTAGCTATAGAGAATAAATGTGATAGTATTGTGTGATAAGACAACACATTTCAACATGGTGATGGTCGGCCGTGAAAAAGCCAGACGTCCTACCTGGTGTGTTGCATCCTGGTGATTGGGGGGTGGTCCCTGCAGACGGGCCCAGGTGTGACACTGGGAGTTCATCCCCCAGCTGGTGATGGAATGTTACAGAATAGTGAGCAGTTGCTAATGAACTTTCAAATAAAGCAAACTATAAATTTTTCTAGACTTATGTAATAGTTGAATTCATGGAAAATTCAAGTCATGGTAAGACCGTGCAAAAATGTTTTGTGTGTAAATGTTGAATAGAGTAAGTTTCTGAGTTCAGAGAGTTAGAAGCCTGTTTTCCACTCGTGAAGTTCTGGTTCATTGTAAGTTTTGTGCGTGGAGAGTTTTTGTTGGGTGAGACTGTCTCACTCATTGAAGGACGTCTCAACCTCCCTTACCTCTGCCTGCCAAATTCCAGTACTCTCTGAATCTTGACCACCAAATATGTCCCACGGGATCTCAAAGCACCCCTGGGCTGCATTGAGAACCATTGTTCTAAGGAATTAAACACAAGGATGAACAAACCTCTCCTGTCCCCAGAGCCTTGTGTGCCGGAGGATGGCTGCCCATCACGTGTCACTTGTCACTTTGTGCCAGTGCTGGGCAGGTCATTGTCACCACTTGGGAAAAGTGTTGACAAAATCGATGGTTAGATTCCACCACTGACGATGTGTGATGGGGAGAGAAGTTCCTGTGTGAAGAACTCCAAAGGCTGGAGTGTGGTTTCCGTCGTGGGTTGGCCTTGAGGGTGCCTTGTTTGGATTCCATCTGCATGGGGTGGAGCTCGGGCCTCTGGCTGGTACAGTTGCCCTGACAGACACTGGGGTGACCTTGGCCAAGTCATGCATTCATTTCCATCTGAGTTTCTAGTTTCCTCATCTTTAAAAAGAAGATGAGGGGGCCGGGCGCGGTGGCTCAGCCTGTAATCCAGCACCTTTGGGAGGCCGAGACAGGGCGATCACGAGGTCAGGAGATCGAGGGACACTCCTGGCGAGACAGGGTGAAAAACCGTTCCGTTCTCTAGTAAAAAATACAAAACTAGCCGGGGAGTGGCGCGCGCCCTGTAGTTCCCAGTCTACTCGGGAGCTGAGGCAGGAGGAATGGCGTGAAACCACGGAGGCGGAGCTTGCAGTGAAGCCATAAGGATCTGGCCACTGCACTCCAGCCTGGGGGACAGAGCGAAACTCCGTCTAAAAAAAAAAAAAAGAGGACCTGGAGCTCCTCTGGGGCTGCTTCAGCCCAGGGTCCTCCTGCTTTCTGAGGGTAGCAGTGTCTGTGTTCACGAAAACACATCCATGGGGCGGATGTTGGCCACAGACCTGCCATGGCAGAAATCCCCCGTGCTTCTCTCTGCGTGTCAACAAGCAGTGAAATAAGAGTAAAGTTGCCTAATACTGACTCAGATGCACAATCCAGTTAACCCAGATGTGTGAGATCTTCTGGTTTGAAAGCACTGTATTGGCAAGGCAGAATCAACCTATTGTAGATTATATTATTAGTATGATATATATATTTTTTTTTTTTTTTTGAGACGGAGTCTCGCGCCTGTGTCACCCAGGCTGGAGTGCAGTGGCGCGATCTCGGCTCACTGCAAGCTCCTGCTCCCAGGTTTCACGCCATTCTCCGCTGCCTCAGCCTCTGAGTAGCTGGGACTACAGGCGCCGCCACCCACGCCCGCTAGTTTTTTTGTATTTTTTAGTAGAGACGGGGTTTCACCATGTTAGCCAGGATGGTCTCGATCTCCTGACCTCGTGATCCGCCCGTCCTCGGCCCTCCAAAAGTGCTGGGATTACAGGCTTGAGCCACCCGCCGGCCTTACAGAATATATTTTTGTATATCATACATGGGGGTTATTAATATTGCTAATAAAACCATTATTTGTAAAAATTAAATTAATAGAAGAATTGTTGTATTTTCTCATAGCTTTAAATAGGATAAAAATATATTCTATTTAAAATCCTATTTAAAATATATCCTATGCAAAATCACAAGAAAACAGAGGAGTGGTTTCCTTTTTTTTGAGACTCTGCTCTGTCACCAGGCTGGAGGGCAGTGGTGTAATCTTGGCTCACTGCAACCTCTGCTTCCCAGGTTCAAGCAATTCTCCTGCCTCAGCCTCCCGAGTAGCTGGGATTATAGGCATGCACCACGCTGCCTGCCTAATTTTTGTAATTTTAGAAGAGACAGGGTTTCACCATGTTAGCCAGGCTGGTTTTGAACTCCTGACCTTAGGTGATCCACCCTCCTTGGCGTCCCAAAGTGCTGGGATTACAGGCGTGAGCCACCATGCCTGGTGGAAAGTTTTAAATGTGGTATATTTGAATGACTTTTAAAGGAGGAGGCTGGGTGCGATGGCTCACACCTATAATTCCAGCACTTTGGAAGGCCAAGATGGAAGGATCACTTGAACCCAGGAGTTCCAGACCAGCGTGGGCAACATAGTGAGACTCCCATCTCTACAAAAAAATAAAAAAATTAGCTTGGCACAGTGGCACCCGCCTATAATCCCTTAGGAGGCTGAGGTGGGAGGATTGCTTGAGCCTGGGAGGGTGAGACTATGGTGAGCTGTGACTGTGCCACTGCATTCCAGGCTGAGCGAGGTCCTAACTCAAAAAAAAAAAAAAAAAACAAAAGCAAAAAGGGTGTTATTAAGTCTGGCATTTCTTTCCATATAAGTTCTTTATAAAAGACAGTCTCACTCTGTCATGCAGGCTGGAGTACAGTGGTGCAATCTCGGCTCACTGCAACCTCTCCCTCCCGGGTTCAAGCGATTCTCCCACCTCAGCCTCCCGAGTAGCTGGAACTATAGGTGCATGCTACTGTGCCTGGCTAATTTTTGTATTTTTTGATAGAGATGGGGTTTTGCCATGTTGGCCAGGCTGGTATCTTTCCATGTAAGTCCTGAAAATTAGAAATAAAAATTGCCAACAGTTGAGAGCTGTTGACAGAAAATTGTGGGAGAGAAGTAGCAGATAAGAACTTAATCCCATTATGTCAATGAAAAAAAGTATGTTTAAATTAGAAAATTACTAATTTGTAAACACATATGAGTGAATGAGAATTGTCTGTCTAAAATGTGGGCAGTGGAACTTTGAAAAGGAAAAGTCTCCAAACAAAGTTAAAAATTGGTTAGCATTCCAAATAATAAGGTGCTTCTATGGATTATTTATTTTGGGACTCAGATATTTTGAGATGGGAGTCTCGCTCTGTCGCCCAGGCTGGAGTGCAATGGCATGATCTCGGCTCGCTGCAACCTCTGCCTCCTGGGTTCAAGCGATTCTCCTGCCTCAGCCTCCTGAGTAGCTGGGATTACAGGCGCACGCCACCCCGCCTGGCTAATTTTTTTTTTTTTTTTAAATTAAAAACGGGGTTTTACCATGTTGGCCAGGCTGCTCTCGAACTCCTGACCTCGTGATCTGCCCGCCTCGGCCTCCCAAAGTGCTGGGATTACAGGTGTGAGCCACCACCCCCGGCCGGGACTCAGGTATTTTAAATGAAGATTAGGAGTATGTG